CTAATTCTTCTTATAAGAAACTCAACATTATACTCACTATAATAGTAGTCCCACTTTACCAAATGGATTCAGGGTATTTCAGCAGTATTCATGTGGTTCAAAGTAGAAACGTGGTTAAAGGTAAATACTTTTACTAACATCGAGTGATATACTTGCAACTGTGTTTTAGCTTTTTCAACTACAATAATATTTGCATCATTATTGAGTTTCACACAACATTTGAGCAAAGAAATAAGTCTCTGCATAACAAACTATTATGTAGCGTCTGGTTTTCGTTTCACTGATTTGTCTGTTTTTGCTGATGAACCAACCTGATTTGCTACTAATATCCTAGATAACATTTTGACTATAATCTCGTAACTTTACTTCGTCATCTCTACAAATTTTATCATGAGAATCGTGTCGACGTATACAATATCTCTGTTCAAATTACTCGATTTGTTACTCATTAATGACTCTAGCACGCATGTAAATTGTAGAGAATCTCCTCTGCTAAGTTCTGCCTACAGCATTTTACGTGCATATTTGGCAAATTTCAAAAAAAGAAATTTGGCTTATCTCTAAGAAATTTCAGCGTAGATTCTGTTCATAGGAAAATATACAGTATTTTGGACGTATTTTAAGAGAAAAAGAATAAAATATATTTGTCTCTGAAATGTGTTGGTTATTACAATCGCTCGTACTTACCACCTACCATCTCAAGTTCAATTTGGATATTTGCTGTCCTAGTTTAACACTTTCTCGAGTTGTAATAAAATCTTATTTCCACAAATAAAAAACTGCGAAATAAAAAAAAGGCAAATTAAATAAGGTGAATGTTAATTCTGATGCCAGAAAATTTAACAACTGGATACAGTTCACAATACAACATCTGAACAGTATAAAAATAAAAATTCCCGTTAAGAAAAATACTCTCAATATGTAGAAATTGTTTAAGGAACTTCTTGATGTGTCAATTTGTGTCGACATGTAACTGTTTTATACTTTATGCGATTTCTGTAATCAGATGAATGATTATTTATTTTGTTGGTTTGAATAGACATTTTGCTTTGGAATGTATGAGACTACTGAATCCATCCGTAAGCCTAGGTATTGTATCACATTTTTAACAAAATGAGCATATATACATATATATATATATATCTTAAGGCATTAATGTAAAAAATACAGCATTTATGGGAAGATGTTGAATTTAAATCATCACCTTCTGAATCGAGTTAGAAATCTGAACCTACTGCTATCACGTTGTTTTTGAGAACAGTGGGAAAATTGCTTTTACTTGCTCTGAAACTCTCATTGAGGGTTCTCAGTAATCCTACACGATTTGCTTATAAATGCATCAGAATTACTTTGCATGCTACCCCACTACCTTTCACCATAATATTTTTTCTTAGATTTCATTGTGCTTTTCGGCTCTGTGCCTAGACTACTTCTGTTAAATAAGCTTGATATAGCACCTCCTTGACTCTCGATCATAAGCTGGATTATATTCGTATTTTTCTGCAAGAAAGCAGCACATTGTATTTCTTACTGATAACAGTGTGATCCTCGGTGCTGTACTTCAGTAACTGTTCTCTTCCTTTTTGTACAACTTACCTTTCCGTACCAAAGCTATCTTCTTGAGGTACTCCGACGAATTAGCTGTCCTTATGGTAGTCCTTTCCCTCTTGAAATGCTTTCGAATGATTCTTATATCTAAAATTTCCTTCAGAGTCTTTATTTCATGTTCATTTGCACTGTTTATTTGTCACCCACTGTTGTTATCAGACAAACAAACAGGACAGATTCGTTTTGATAAAGTCTCACAGTGTTAAACAGTAATGTTTACTGATGACGTTTCGAGCACAATTTATTGCTCATAATCATATCAAGGTACTCACACAACTTTCTAACTTCGTTTATATATTTCCATTATTTTCCATCGCTTGATTTGATTGGTAGTAGTATTTTCCATATTTCCGGTATGAGTAATGAGTCATTCCTATTGCATGTGTTGGGTGTAGACTCGATGAACAATGATTCAGTAATCAATCTCTCTCTCCACCCACCTAACTATATTACTTCTTAGAATTTTAACCCTCTCTCACCCTATTGTGTGGTTGTGTGTTAATGCATGCAGTGCAATTGCTGAGCCTTTTTCTAAATTACTTATCTTCTCTGGGTCAACTATTCTTACCTTAGCCACTAAATTCTTACGTTCCAACAATCTGACTACCACCGACTTACTAGTTTGACCTATGTAGACGACCTCACAGTCATTGCAGGGTATTTTGTAAATGATATTATTTTGTCTAATTGGATCAACAGGGTCCTTTAACCTACAGAGCAGATATATGTTCTTGCACCCTCTTGGACAAAACTCGTGTCGAACGACCGATATACCTAACTCCACACGAGCAGGTGAATTGATAAACACACATAGAGTTGGTCAACAGCGGGATCTTGTCCTTCAGGTTATTGAACAATAATGGTCGACTAGAAAAGAACTCTATCCTGCATGGTTACGAAAAGGTGGAAGTGGAGCAATAAGAAGCGCGATCATTGAACATCTGGTCGATAATGATCATCCTATCTCTATAGCCTCCGCCTTCAAAGTCATCTACAAGGCAAAGAGTAATTTACCCAAATCCCTACGTACCCGACTCATCTGTATTGCTGAAGCCATCTTTAGCTATCGAAACAGAAAAGCCAGATCTCTGTGTACAGAAAAAGTTCGTTCAACCCCTCCAACTTTCATGGTCTTAACCCCCTCTATGCTAAATTATGGCAATCCCCAATCATATTTTAGCTCTACCAATTTTTCATTTTTTCATTTTTGTCTATTCAACTTGTATACTCTTCCTTATTAAGTCAATTGTTACTATTACTACTCTCACTTTTAATTGTCCCCGGTATTATTTCACTTGTTCCACTCGTCATTCTAAATCAATTCCTTTATGCAACATTAAATTCTATGCTATTAAATTTCACACAATATTACGTAACGTTTTTATTTTTCCGATTTGTCTACTAATCTTATAATTGCACACCTTTTTCAAGTTCTATCCATCCTATGAATTATTCTATATATGACATTAATTTGCTTTGCCACTTGACATTTAACTACGATTATAATCACAAACATTTTAGTTTTAATTGCATTTCATATTATTATTATTATTTTATGCATTCACACCTATGTTTCAATTCCCTCACCGGATATGACTTCTTAAAAACCATATATATATACGATTGTACAGCTTGATGATAAATTCGTTGAAAAGAGTCTCTTCGCTGAATCATTTGTTTTGATTTTCTGTATGTTACAATGGGAATTTTCCATGATTTAGACTTTAATTGGTCTTATCCGTTAACTGTTAAGGCAGGCTTAGTTAAGTGTCTAACAAACCGAGCAGTAGCACAAAGTAGTACAAGAAAAGACCTAAATGATGAAATAAAACAGATAGAAAAAGCATTGGTTTCAAATGACTATCCTATAAAATTCATTAGAAAGATCAGAAAAAGCCAAAAGCCAAATAAAAATAATTGTGAAACTTGTAATGATAACATAAATAAGAGAGAATATAAGTCATCTACTGTTATGCCATATAAAGAGGGGACATCTGAGACCCTACGTAGGATTCTGAATAAAGCAGGAATTAGAGTGGCATTCAAACCTACAAACTCATTCAGAGACAAGCTCTGTAGGTTAAAGGACCCGGTTGATCCAATTAAACAAAATAATATAATTTACAAAATACCCTGCAATGACTGTGAGGTCGTCTACATAGGTCAAACTAGTAGGTCAGGGGTAGTCAGATTATCAGAACATAAGAATTTAGCTAAAGGAAAAATGATTGACCCTGAAAAGATAAGTAATTTAGAAAAAAGCTCAGCAATTGCACTTCACGCAATAACAAACAACCACACAATAGGGTGGGATAGGGTTAAAATTCTAAGAAGTAATATAGTTAGGTGGGTGGAGAGAGAGATTGATTACTGAATCATTGTTCATCGAGTCTACACCCAACACATGCAATAGGAATGACTCATTACTCATACCGGAAATATGGAAAATACTACTACCAATCAAATCAAGCGATGGAAAATAATGGAAATATATAAACGAAGTTAGAAAGTTGTGTGAGTACCTTGATATGATTATGAGCAATAAATTGTGCTCGAAACGTCATCAGTAAACATTACTGTTTAACACTGTGAGACTTTATCAAAACAAATTTTATCCGTAGTGGAATTATACTCTACTATAGTGCACAAGTTTTATTCTCATATGAAACAGGAAAGATGCTTGCACTTGTGGAGGCTAGTGCAATTAGAGTTTATAAACCATTTCTGTGTGTGCAACAGGAAGTGGTGGTCACTCCTAATCTACCATGGTAATTTGTTTTGCTTAATAACTGTTATTATTTTGAATATTTTATTTCACCTCTTATTCCTGCTATTTCTGATTGATTTAAAACTGTCTTTCATCAGTAGCGTTATCTTAACTCGTTTTAACACCATTATTATTACTGTTGATTATTGTTGCTGTTATTATTATTAGCATTATTATTATTATCATCACTGAAGCGTTAGCCATCAAAACAGAAAAATCAGAGCTCTGTAAACAGAAATTTTCGGAACTACCTTACTTTAAGGCAGTTTCTTTACATAGCTTAATATTAATTCAAATGAGTGAAATGTGAAATTCAGTGGAACTCGTATTAACTCTTTTCTTCTTCCCCATCAAATTTTACTTTAACGTCTCAAGTGTGTCATGAGTATACATGCATATTTGATTCATTTTTTCTTTTTCATTTGAAGTTGCCAATAACTTGTTTGTAACATTCTCTAATAGGAATTAATCTATGTCTCATGCTTTACTTCTTTAAACACTTTTACGAATGCAATATATATATATATGTATATAATGTATAAAGTTGCTTTTTTTTCTATTAATCCTTATCCCAGTACATCATTTTCATCCACTATTCTACATGCTTTTGTTTTCACATTTAAAGATAACACCGTTTATTGGAACATTTCACGATGCTGTCAAGTTATATGCTTTAGCTTTAAATGATGCTTTAGCCAAAGGTGGAACTATTACCAACGGGACACTAATTACCCACGAAATGTGGAATAGATCATTCAAAGGTATGTTTAATTCTTTTCTTTTTTAAAATTAAAATAAATTACTATTGTTTATGTATTACTTTTTTCCATATGTCTGGAAGATGCTACTAACAGGACCAACTATTTATGTATAGCTTTTTGCAAAATGCAATGTACAAAGTGACCAAATGATATTTATATTAGATTTATTGTTATCCTGTTTTGTACTTACGCATAATCATATCAGTTGATAGGTATCTTCTGAAGAATAGAAAGGCCGTCTGTGTTAACGTATTTATAGTTATCTGCCCACTCAGAGCGAACAATTGTTTTCTTCAGGCTCTACAATTATAAATTCACCAATGCTGGCATACATTAGTCAGTAAAGGTAAATCATAATTATGTGTTGTAGTACAAGTATAAGGCGCAATAATACTCAGTTTAGATTGTTACTAAATCCATATAAAGTATGTATAGTCAAAATAACATGAGATAAAACGAAATGAAATAATTCACAGATGTGCATTTGTGTATATATACTCAGTAAAAATTAAAGTTTTCAAGGTTGAATAAATGGGAAACAAAATGTTTGATTAGTGCAGTCTTCGTCCATTTGTTAGGGATATCAAATAAAGCCAGAACAGGCGTTTTCAGTTATCTGCCATGTCTCTAGTAATCTTCCCAGAGGAGCTTGAATGGGTCTTCTATCAGTAGCTAAAGTGATAGCAATCAATAAAAAAGACCTGGTCTCTTTATTCAGAAGACATATATCCAGCCTTGGTTTACAATAAGGCCAACAAATCCTTGATAAACATTAGTAATTAACCCGGGTTTGAACCCCAGTGGGTGCGTACTGCCGATGATTCACAAACTAGGATGAAATAGCTGCCCAGTACTCCAGTGCGGGTTTTCAATGGTTCTCTAACTGATATTAATCCGTGGTCAAACTCGTATTAGTAAGTAACAGTAAGTCCCTATCTCATTTATTTTCTCCTTTTCTCCCTTTGTTTCATAAATGAAACTTTTATTTCAGACCTTTTATGATTTCATGACCCTTCTTATTCTATCTGTTACCCCAGGTCTACCTAATACTTTTCAAACTGGTTATTGTATTTACACAATCCTTTTCATATCACGTTATTAAACTCTTCACTATCTGATAATCGTTCACTAATAATATTTTTGTTTTCACTGCACCATAGTTATTATTTCTTAAAATTATTATCGCTATTTGTGAAGAGGAGATGAAAACGTGTGGGCAGACATGGAGCCAGGTGAAGACTCTAGCAGAGAACAGAACGCAATGGAGACGCACGGCTGAAGCCCTATGTTCCTGTAGGAATTAAAGGTTACAATAATAATAATAATTTGTCACTCTTGAACTGATGTCTAGCGCATCCTATTAGTCAGTTTATTTCTCTGTATTACTCATATTTACCTTTCATACCACTGACTACACTCAACCTTGAAACCTGGAATTTTGTTGATCATATATGTACACAAACACATCATTGATGTATTTTATCTCATGCTATTTTTGACTATAGAATTTATATGGATTTACATAGTAACTGAAACACATTGACTACTACTCTATTTTGTACATATACTACAGTACACCTTCCGATATAATTCTAATTTGTCTTTACTGACTAATGTATGCCAGCATTAGTGGATTTATAATTGTAGAGCCTGAAGAAGAATTTATTGAGGACAATTATTCGCTCTAATTATTTTTTTCTGAATTTATTGTAAGGATATTTTAATTCTTACTTATTTATTTGATGATATTCGAAATAAGTTTAAATCATTGACGTAATTACACACTCGGTATGTTACTAGTCTTCTTTTCAATCCCAATTAGACAAAATGAGGTATAAACTGAAGGTCATGTGTGTGGTTCTAGTGTGCAATGCATCAAATCGCAGAATTTTACACTTTATTCTTAGCTTTTAGTCAGTTAACTAATGATAGATAAATTTTACTCTTTTGTGTACTTGTGTACCTTGCACAGATCTTCAGTGTTCCCAGCTTTATACATTTCTTAAAAATCAACAATAAATGTTAGCTAGACCTGAAGAAACTGTGAAATTCGTGAGAGTTTTTCCCCTCTCATAATCCAGTGTAGTACAAAAATGTTATGCGCAATTGCGAATAAATGTGTTACTGGCCAAGTTAGTATCAAATGCCATGATGAAAGAGAGAGAGATTCAGTAGTATTTAGATCAGGGAGAAGATTAATAGCTCAGATAGACATGTTTACTGTTCGTGTATCCTCTCAGCTGTATTGTTTACCTGTGAGGTGTTGTCACTCTGATGTCTGTCAAAGAAATTTATTGATTATTTTTGAAAAAAGGATGATTTCAGTGATTTCCAAATTCCCGTTTATGTTTAGACAAAACAACAGATTGAGCGAAGAAATATATTCCTTTTCAATTAATTCCTCATTATCGGCTCAATGCTAGTATACACTTTTTTACATCAGAATTTTACCAATCAGTTGGTTACTTTAGTTAAACAGTTTTAGGTATGGGCGGGGGTGAAATCAAGAAGTTAAAGGTCATCAAAACAAATAAGTAATAGCTATTAACAACAAGATATCTAAGTTTCAAAAAAGGGGTGAAAATTTATTACGGAATTCAATATAGGTTGATTCTTATGCGTTGGCAACAAGTTATTACATAAACTAAAAACAAGTTAATAGAATTAACTAGAATTGTAAAAAATGACAAAGTCAAAAGATAGTTACAAGGGGAGGAGAGAAATTGTTTTCTTTCTAAAAACTTAATACAGATTATGTAGTTAGCCTTGGAGAAGAAAAGGGCTGTACAAGTTTCTATTGAACTCACAGATTTGGCTTGATTAGATGAATTCCGATTGCCTCTGCTGTATGTAAAAGTTGTGTCGTATGTAAAAGGATGACATAGCTTCTAAGTATTGACAGGATGTTTCAAAGACCTTCTTCAATACATCTTTCTTCTCAAAACTCATATTTTGTTTTGTTGTACAGTTATTTGCTTGGCTATGAATGCCTTAGTTAGTTATATGTATTATATTCAATAATTGTCTGACTACTTTTATAACCATATCATCTGTGATTTTCATCGTAAATATCACGAGTTATTATCGCTAGAAAAAATAGCTTCAGCTAATTATATTGAGTGAGATGACCATCTCAATATCACAAATCAAATAATTTCACTCTTAGTCAACTTAGTTGCCCAACTGCTATGAGCAGATTCCAGTCACTGGTATTGTACTGACTTGTATGCTTTAGTGTTTTCACAATAGGACTGCAACACTTTTTGTATTTTAAAATTTCCAAAATGTTCGCAGAACGTTCTCACGAAATTCTTATGTTAGAGAAGTAGGATTTCCAGTGTGTTCAATATTCTTGCAAATCATCTTCTTTAAAGAACTTATCGTCTAGCATGTTAAAATGAAATTTCCTGTTTAGACTGGCTGTTTTCACTAATTTTTATAACTTGTCTCACTTTTTATATGACTAATTGATTTGTCTTCATTGTTATCTTAGGTGTCACTGGTGTTGTTCGTATTGATGCAAATGGTGACCGTAACGCCGATTATTCTTTGCTGGATATGAATCCTGTAACTGGAGACTTTGAGGTAAATAGTTTTGTAGATTTTGTTTGAAACTGTTTTCGCCTGGGGGCAATTTTTTCTTTAATCAAACAGTACTCATGTGTTTGAAACATTTATTTCCCGATACGAATTTAAAACAAGCAATAAAGGTTAATAAAGCAGGATTTAATGAATTCATCAAATTTCGGTAGAACTCGTCAGCTGAATACTCTACATACACGGATATATACTTTTGAAGTTACATTGGGAGATATAGGACTGATAAGTAAATAAACTACATTGAATTAGTCATGCAGAAAGACAGGTGCGAATGTTTTTCCAGGTCATGTTCAATTAGATAAGGGGAGAGAGAGTATGGGAGATCAAAATTAAGATAAATTGCATTACGCTTCAATTACAACACTTAGATAAACAATTAGACATTAGAGAATTTAACAAGAATTGCAACCAGAGGTATGTCAATAGTAATAGTTATAATAACAATAATAATAATAATGTTGAAGTGAATTAAGATAATGCTACTGATAAAGGATAGTTTTAAATGAATCAAGAATAATAATAATAATGAGAATAATGATAGTAATAATAAAATACTAATAAGAGGTAGAATTATAAGTAAAACGTATTACCATGGTAGATTCAGAGTCACGACCATCTCCTTTTGTACACAGAGACCTGGTTTGTAAACTCGAATTGCACAAGCCTCTGCAATTGCAAGCATCTTCTTGTTTCTTTGTCTGCTGACAATGGTGAATGACTTGACTGCGTCGATATCATGCCCGTAATCCACAAGATGCTTTGTTATTGAGGATTTTGGCACTTTGAACTCAGCTGTTTTCAACCATTTTGGCAAATGCTCCATCATGCGAGTAGACAATCTCCTTTCCGTACGACCTATGTATTTGCTTCCACAAACACACTCAAATTGATATACGCAGTTTGAAGTGTCGAGGATTGGCGACTGGTCTTTCCCAGATTGTTGAAGCACTCGCTTAGTGGTGTTAAGGAAAACAAGTTTTGCAGCATAATAAGTTCTCTTGATGGCTTTGTCGAGTCTTCGTTTGACTACTTCCTGTACATCATCTCCTTTGAACGGCAAGTTGATATAGACAGGTTTCTTCGGAACTGTTTGGATTGTTTTGCAGCGGGTGTTTTCTTTAGAGTATTTATTAATGAACTTCTCAGGATATCCATTCTTAGATAAGATATCCTTCAGGGATTTTATTTCATACTCAACAGTACTGTCAGAACAAATTTTTCGTGCTCTATTGAACAGTGTTCTGACTAAGTTCTTTTTGTACTGGATTGGAACAAAACTCTTGAAATGCATGTACTGTCCTGTCCATGAGGACTTTCTAAATATAGATCTTTCGATTGTGCCATCATTCATTTTCGCCAGAAAAACGTCTAGGAATTTGATAGTATCATTTTCCTTGTGTTCTACTCTGAAATTGAGATTTGGATGGCATGAGTTGAATTTTATCAGCATGTCTTCGGCTTTTGATCTGCCTCCACAGACAATAAAAATGTCATCAACATATCTTAGGTATAGATCCGTTTCTTGTATATGTTGTTGCAGGGTACCGTTTTCTAGGCGTGACAAGAATAAGTCAGCGAAAAGTGGTCCCAAGGGGCTTCCCATTGCGACACCATCAACTTGACGGAATAAACGCCCGTCGAATTGGAAGTGGACATTTTTAGTACATACTCATGTGTTTGTCTGACTATGACTATTCACGTAAATTGTCTTTATAGGCTGTTGTTCTTTAGAGATGCAATTCACCAATTTATGAGTAATTTAGTTATGGGTATAGTAATCCTCTTAAATTACATTTTTGTGATCAGTCTGTCAGTTCAAACGATTTTATGTTCTTTATCATAAATTGTTGTATAATTTCTGTCACAAATCGTATCAACCACTGAACGGCGAAAATTTAAGAAACAGAAAGCTGCTTTGCTTTATGCTAAGATTATTTGTCAGTGCGCACAGATGACCCAGTGAGAAGTAAAACTCAGATCTTGTAAAGAACGCGTAATCATTCAACCACTGTGTCACAGTTTACCGGTTCACAATTTCGGAATTCAGCTAAGTCAGTATATAGTTATACTGACATAGAATACCATCGGCGACTGTGTAAAAATCAACTTGTTCGTTCAAACTAGTCACAATTTTCCATCAACTACCTATAAGGTATATTTACTGATAAGAGCTGTATCGTTAAACAATCAAAGAAAGACATTTAAAAGCTACGAAAAACCTACCGGTGAATCCCAACGCAATCATTTCCATAGTAATGTATGTACTCGTTACGAGATCTAAGGATTATATTTCCTAATGAGTTCGTGAATGGTTAGTGATGAAAAGTTACAAACTAGAACAAAACAACTGTTTACTGTTACTGAGTTTTCAATGGTCTGACCACGGGTGTTGAATAATGACTAAGTTTAAGGTGAAATTAAGTTCATATCTCAGAGACAACAATAATACCTCTGAAATAATGATCTGTAGCCAAGTTACATGCTTTTGGTGTTGTATTCCCTGAGCTAAATAAATTAATTTCAAGGCTTTCCTTGTCGTTCTTGATAAAATCTTCGGCGCTAAATCCAATGTATGAAATATCTGGGTTTTCCAATGACTTTGAATGGGATTGATACCTACATTTGAACTGACTTGTTCAATATTCTTATATATATATATATATATATATATATATATATATATATATATATATATATATATATATATATAGTAAGAAAGGTAATAGTTTTGAATTTTTTTCAAAACTTTTAATTTCATTTTTACTCTATTTTTTTGAAAATTCCTTTTCAACTCTTTTGTCCATATCACCCGGTAGCTGATACTTTAAGTGGTGGCCTGTGCAACTAAGTTTCTACTACATAACTAAAGCTTTACACCTTTTATTAGTTGAGGTTGTCAGCTTTCATTGTAATATCCAAATTGGATATTAATCTTAATTCATTCAAATTATACATGTGTACACATCTTCCCTTAGTAGTCTAGGTTTCATATTCAAGCTTAATTGAAGTTTTCACAGGTATTATAATAATATTTATTCTAAAAGAAAGAAAGAAAGTAGAGTTGACAAGTGCTTGCTCTTTCTCTTGATAAAAATCTCTAGCGAATTCTAGTGATAAATGAATAGAGATGTTTGGTTGGAGGATTTTTTCATGAGTTGACATCAGTTAGAGAACCATTTGAAAACCTGAGAATACTCGACATCTGTTTCGTCCTAGTTTGAGACTCTTCATCAGGACGCACCCTGTGGTTCTCTAACCGAAATCAGCTCATGATGAAATCCTCCAACCAATCAATCTAAAACCCTTACAAACCAATACTTGAAAATTGATCTGATGCTCACTAGAGACTGGACCTTTTCAGGCAGTTACCTGGGGTTCTAGTGGGAAGCCGTGACCAGTAGGGTACAGCAGGTCGAAGGTGAGGACAGTTACTCATCGAATAAGACATTGCGAAGTGGTCGTATTATGTTGTGAATTGGCAAAAGTTAGAATTTATGGGCTGGCCATGGGATCAGGTCGCAGTGAGTGAGTGAATGGTCTACGAGCTCACTAGCCTTGTAACCAGAAGGTCCTGGGTTCGGACTCTGTCTGTGGGTGCGTGCTGGTGAAGAGTCCCAAGCTAAGCAAACGAAACAGCTGTCCAGTACTCCCTGCAGGTTTTCCAATGGTCCTCTTTACTGATGTCAGCTCATGATGAAATCCTGCAACCAAGCAAACAAAAAACCTCTACTAACCAATACTTCAAAATAGAGATGTATAGAGACATAATAAACTGTTATTGGATATTACGCTTTCCTGTTACATTTGCCTTTTAAAACTAGTGTTATAAATAAGTTAATAAGTTAACAAAGGTTATGGCTGTAAAATTTCAACTGTACGAAGGAAGTATTATGAATAAATTTTCAAGCTTCTAATGACATATTTGGTATTTAGTAAGTATAAATATATACTGAAGAATTAATCCATATTCGAGGCTGTGAAGTATTCAACCTTCAACCAATTGATTAATGGTTTGAATTTTGTCCTACGTTCCGGTGTCTGACCACTCAGATAGTATCACTATCCCTTAAGCAGTAGTTTGCATTCACTGCTGAAATGCTTTCATCACTGAGAGCTGAATTCAATCAAACTTTCATAAGATTTCAGCGCAAAATATTTTATTCTTAGAATGTTACGTGGCAAACTTGGGGTTCTCTTGCCAAGTGTGTCAATTATTATACACCTACTTGTCAAATTATCTCGTAATAATCGTATTACAATGTCTATTACTGTAAATTAATGTTTCTTTTACTTCATCAAGCTAACAGAAACCAATTTTTATGAGCCAATTGTCATGTTACATTTATTTCATTCTCAACGATTTTTCGTCTCAATGGCTTTACTCTTTATTACTTTTTATTAATAAACATCGAATTTATATAACAAAAAAATGGTTTTCAGTTGTTTGTATCACATTGGTTATCTGAATATAATGGTAGCAAAACAAAATGGCTTGATCGAGGTTTCCTAGCTCAAAGAAATGTATGCATGTGTGTGTATACGTGTGTACTTGTATCTGTTTACTCAAATTAAATATCGAAGAAGAAGGCTAATATGCCTAGAATTCTTCGTTTATTTCGTCAAAAATTCATTGAATCTGGTTTTTTCTTTTTTTATACACAAATGAATAAAACAGTGTTGGACCTTGGAAAGATATATTTTATCGAGTTGGTAGCAATTTTCATAATTTAATAAAAAAATCTTTCATATGATCAGAACATTTTATAATTTTGATGTATATGTTAAATATTAGGGTACAATAAAATAGTAGAAGGCTGTAGATTTAGGTCTTCAGCTTTTCTGCACTTATCTGTAAAGCATACATGCATATTCGTGCACATAATCAAATTGTAAAGATGAGTAGTCGTTAATAGTTGTCGGACAACTGTCAACAAAGGATACAGAAGGCTGGCTTAGAATTTACTATCTTGAGTCATTTTTTTGACACCACCAGGGTGATATCTAGCTGCTTGTTAAAGGATGAGTCTACTAAGTACCAACCTGCGGGGTGTCCTAATTTACAGTTGTAGTAAAGAGTTTTTTTTAAACAGATAACCTTATTTCATTGCTCGTGTGGCGTAGAGTAACGTTAGATTATTGTTAAAGTCAAATACATTGTGAATTCGCAAATGTTCATCAACTAAGTTGCTTACCGTATGTGTTGCTCATACCTAACCAAAACAGTATTAGCTGTAGTAGGGCCGAGCTGGGAAAGCTTTAGTCAGTGTAATGGATCCCATGAAGTTTGTGACTGTTGAATAAACCTATATGTTGGGATGTGTAGGTTGCATGGTTCAGGTCCTGGACATGTTGAAAATCAATGGTGTGAGACATTTGGTGACATACCGTGAGGTTTCGCCCAATAATACATCTGTTCACTTCTTATCGTCAACATTTTAAAGATATTTAGCAATCTTTATTTCACCTTTTCTCTTTTCTCCATCAGATGTTTGTTCAGTGGAAGTGTGTGTTTGAAGTGTGTCAGCATTTAATAATATATATTCCTTTTCAATGTTGTACAGTGATATGTTCGTCTGTTTTAATATAGTGATAAAGTTTCGGACATGGTCAACGAATGTTCAGTGTTCAAATCTAATATGGGACATAAGTTTCCTAAAAATGATAAGTACCTGTAAACATGAAGCCGATTGCATTCAATGTTTCTTCCCACTCAACATTTTCATCCAGCTCCCCCCCCTCCTAAAAAAATAAATTAAATAAAATCTCACTGCATTGTTGTGTCATTCAGTTTAGTGATTATCTTGCCTTGCACACTTGATCGATAACATTCACCCAAATACTAGAAGGCTATATTTTCGTCACCATTGTGTTTATAGATTCAATTAGTTTGCTAAACAAGAATATAAACAATCATGACTTGTCATTTTCATTGGTCAGTAATCAATTGTACCATGCAGATGCATTCATATTAAATGGAATGTAAGTGTATAGAAGTATGTAAATTAACACTTATTTTATCAAGTATATACAAATGTTGGATCGATACTGAAGTATATTATATATGTTACCAGTATGAACTGTATTTTTCTTCTTCATTAGCTATCCAGACTATCTTCTGTTTTAAAATACTTCTTTTTATTGATTAACATTCAGTAGTTACATCAGTATCCTTTCCTACTCCATCATTACTTTTGTGGTTGTCATTACTTGTTCTTTTGAATGTGTACGAAAAACTAAAGTCGTTTTTCGTAGTTTATACTTTTCAGCATACAGATCGTAAGATGAATAATAGCCAGGTAAATGAAAGTGCGTCGGTGGCACAGTGGTAGAATGCTCGCCAACCACGCATTTGGTCCGGGGTTCAATCCCCGGCCACAGACGCTCTCCTTTACCTCACTAAGCCAGTAATAAGACTGGTAAAGAGGGAAGGTTGGTCATGAGGCTAGCAACCCCATCCCGTAAAAATAAACACCACTGCAACCGAAACTTCAAGCCTCTAGCTTGAAGCCCTATGTTCCAAAGGGAACGTAAAGGAACAAAAAAGTGAAAGTATACAAATTCAAATGTATTCTGTTAACCGAGGAGAAATTTCTTTTCTCTTCTTTATTCTTATTTCGAGATCAATTCTACCCTAATATTGCTAATACACATTCAGTAATTATTCAAACGAACATTGTATAATATCAGGAGTAATAATAGTGGAACTAACTCAAGTCACACCGTTTTCTTTTACTTTCATGTTCCCATATAAAATTTTATGACAACTTGAAATAAACACTTCTATTTAGATGACAGAAATGTCAATGTTTTATATGTGAGCTGAAGATCTGTACATTGCCATTTTAAAGGGAAGAAGAATTTTATGTATATGCGTTTTTGCGAGACCATAAATGTGTAGTAACTGAGATTCTGTGGGTTTTAATGAGTTGAATTTCTCTTTACTAATTGTATTCATACTCAAGAGTTTCATTAGATTGTTGATCACATTACTTTTGAAATTCTCCTCACCTTCTGAGGCAGAGTCTATAGTAAATTTATTCTCATTTTTGAAGATGCATAAGACTTTACTTTCATATTCACTTTTGTCCATAACGACTATACCAGAACCTTTATCTGGTCTGAGAATAACCATATCATTACTATTCTCTAGTTCTCTTGGGGCTTTAAAGTGTTCATATGTTAGGATACTTTTTTATAATGTACATCCATCGCAGCAATATCCACTAACTTTGCTCTAAACCAACCTTGGATAATTGCAACTCCCCTTCCTTTTGAGTTGAATCTTGGTGTCATTATTCTGCATAAGGAGATTGGTTCTCACTGCATAAGACCTTTGGCCGATATTTGTGACATCATGATCGCCTTAGTGTGCTCGTGGTTGTCGTCTGGGTGGCCAGACTGGAGTAGATTTCCGACTCTTCAGTTGACAATTTGGATAGTGCACATGCCTTCCATCTGCTCTCACAGATTCCTGGCACTTCCATACCGTATCGTCTCATTTGTTTAGCGACCTGGACAGCCTTGCCAGCTTCGTACATTGTACGAACATTCCATGCTCCCAGTGCTTATTTTTGCTTTCATCGAAAGAAGACACATGGGTTAACTGGCTTCCCGAAGGCCTTCACCAGCCCGCATCATATCGTCTCTCCAATTCTAGCGAAGAATAATTTTGTTTTTAATATTTTTGCTGTGCATTGAAGTTTCTGTATCAGTTTGGTCGATTTTCCGGGTTGGGGTGGCTAGCCCCACATCTGACCTTCCCTCTTTTCTTGGGTTTAGGACCGGCTAGAAAACTAGGCGAGGTTTTCAATCTGGCTACTGAAGTATTATTATATGCCACGACTGAAAACAACACAGAAATAAAGAAGTAGACCCTTCACTCATTTGCAGATTTGAATCATATATTCAGAATTTTTGAGTGTGTAGTGTAAATTCGCCTTTATTTTATTGCATTCAGATAATATTTTAGAAAAAAATAATTGTGTTTTTCAATTTTGTTTAACCTATTTTACCTTATTTACTCATTTATTTTCTTTGATGAAGGTTGTTGTCAATTATTTCGGTAATGACAAATCTATGTCACCTGTGAGTGGTAAAACAATAGATTGGATAAATGCTGAGAATAAACCTCCACCACATACTCCTCCATGTGGATTTGATGGTTCTGAATGTCATAATACCCGTGAGTTTTATTCACCTAAGGCTTTTTTCAGTGGGTTTTTTTCTCCTCGTCTAAGTGTATATGTACTTGTTTTTTTAAACAGTTATTAGCCATGATCTTTTATCTGAGCAAGTAATATTTTATGCGTGGGCGGAACACAAAGGTAGTTTTTATAAATAATTAATACTGTAGCTGCAACAACTAAATTTGTGTTGTTTTTCTTTCTGATATCAACAATCTGTATGACATTATTCTCAGTAAGAAGGAGACTGAAGAAAAATGACTGTAAGTGGATTTCATACCTTAACTGTGCTTCGCTTAGCTCCTAAACAATGTTCTAGTCTTCGCTACAACTGGGAAACAGGATTTTCCAATTTGATTGCAGACAATATTTGGTTGTCTGAGTGTTTGTTTGTGATGTCATTATTGGCATCTCATATAAAGGAGACTTGTCACCATCTCTGCAGGCTTCCATTTCAATGCAGTCCTTATATTGTGTGTAGCCATAGTTTGGTTTTACGTAAGTTGTACCATCTAAAGAAACATACACACAACATGAGACTTGATGATTGAATGAAACTAAGAATATGGCAGGATCGTCGACAGTCAAACACATGGTTCTGGTTTGACTCTCAATCGACGCACTGTTAAACCTCGTCTAGTTTACTAGCCAACAGTAAACCCGGCAAAGAGGTAGAATTTGATGTCAGGTGAGCAATCCCATTGAAAACAACACTGCTACTGAAACTTCAAAAAGCCTGAAACCTTATGTTACACTTGGAACACACAGGAATGCAAAAAGGAATATAATAGTAATACTAGTTGATCACAGATTGATATCAGTTGGAGAACCATTGAAAACCAGGGAGTACTGGACAGCTGCTGTTTCATCCTAGTTTGGGAATCATCGGCAGTACGCACCCACTGAAGTTCGAACCCAGGACCTTCCGGCTTCAATGCAAGCTCATATACTATTCATCAATTGGGACCCGATTCAATGGCCGGTGAATTCTAACTTCCACCGATTCGTGATTTAGAGCGATCAACTATTGATAATAGTAATAATTAGCGTAATACTTCAAATTCACAAGGTAAATGTTGATTGGCGTATTTTTACTGGAAGACTATATATATATATTCTTTTTGCCATTGATCAACTTATATTTTGCTTAACTTTTTCTCTTATTCTGTTTCTAAAACGAAAGGCTTTTTTATAATAATTAATTATCCTTTCTCGTGTAAAACACTATGGATTTGAGCTATTGGTACTTAAAATTCCTGAAAGTAGTAGTAGAGTTCAACTAACATGTTAGCTTGATATATATATATATATATGTCTGTTACAAGATCTGAGGGATAGTTGTCACAACAGACATAATAACAAAGAAATCATTTTAGAATAATATCACATGCGTGCGTAATTGATGCATTTACTTTATGTGACGTGTACTCTATACATATCGATCGGCATTAGCCTAGGAGTTAACTGCATACTTATCACAATGATCATAAGATGACCGCTTCTCCCACCACCATTTACTTCTCATTCAGCTAAAGTAGAAATTCTTGTTTATTAGTTAGTTGTTTTTCTTTAGAGATGAAAAACATTTTCTCTTCTATTCTAGTCATTTGCCCATTAGGTTAGTAAGCAGGTAAGTAACTTAGTGGTAGTCAAACTCATAATCGATGTATGTGACTAAGCCGACAGATGTTAAAGATAGGAATACAGAAAATAGCTAAGAAAATAGTAGAATTAATAATCCTAAGTAGCACTAGTAATAGTAGTAGTTAGTAGTAGTCTTAGTGGCAATATGCCTAATCTATCTGTCTATTTTTCATCAATTAGGAAATAAAGATTATTGTTTTTTTGTGATTTAATGATAACTCGAGTTGTTATCATTAATACTATTATTATTATTGCAACCATATGGTCATTCGGTCGTTTCGTTACAGCATATTATTATTATTCTCTTTAGTCTTCCTTTCTTTCTCTCTCTCTAGCCTTCATACACACACACACACACACACACTATAGTTAGTATCAACGACTATTACTCTTGTCATTATTATTATTATTACTATTGTTGTTATCACTGTGTTTTGAATCAATCTGATCTAAATAAAATATAGATATGAGTAAATGAAAAGGAACAAAATTTATAGACCATATGGTCAACATATTTTCCTCTTCAATTGCATGTGATGTGATATAGCGCAATTAGTGTTTAAGGGATATATTTACATGTAGCTTAACGCTATTAATAAGCATAGACACACAAAGTAGACAAAGATCACACTTCAGGTTGGTTTGTATGTGTATACACAAGGATTTGCATGTGTATTGTATGTGAATATTTACATGTATGATATATATTTTTAAAGTTTCAGTGAGCAAATGACCTTAAGTGAAAATCGACTGTGTTTTATGTTTAGAGTTAGTCTTAGACGTGTGGTACAACTGTCCCCAAACTACAATCCCATTCATGATATATAGATGACAATGAGAATAACATACACAAACGAGATGAATTCATCATTGATTGATATGTCAACTACTATTAAGAACTTCCGTCAACGATGTAAGCATAACTGAGCTTATTCATCTGTCTGTACAGGGGAATGACAATGTTCAACATTATTATCAAATTCCTACAAACTAACTAACATTGGAAATTAATCTGATACTCACTAGTGACTCTGACAATAGAATGAGGTTGCTTGAAGTTCTAGTGAGAAGTCCACCAATTTGGGTGTGAGGACAAGTACTCCCCGATGACAATGACTGGGGATGGAGCTATAAGTTGCGAGTTGGCTGGAATTAGAATTCGTGGTTGGTTGGATCTCGTCACAGTGGTTGAATGATCAACAAATGGTTCTTGTTACTTAAAGTCTCTGCGCTTGATCCTCTGTGTAGCTATGGGTGTTTACAGCTGAGGATTCTAAAACTGAGGTGAAACAGCTGTTCAGTACTCCCTGATGTCTTATGGTTCTCAAACTCAAGTCAGTTTGTGATCATTCTTACAATCAGTCACATCTTTGCAAACCATTACAAGAAAAACATTTCAACAGGGACATGTGATTATGATTAGGAATTATCGATAATGGAATGTAATGTTTGCAAAATCAGAAACATTTCAGATTTTGGGTTTGTAGAGATCCTGCTTCATTTCAAAATAGATTTTTAATGAACTGATGTCATTCAGAGGTTCATCGGAAACCGAGGAGTACTGGACAACTGTCTTATTCTAGTTTGAGATTCTTCAGCGGTATGCTTCTACAAATCCACTACAGATCAAGTCCATAACTTTCAGCTTACCAGGCTATTATATTACTGTTCAACCATTCTGCGCATTCTTGATATGTTTTCGTTGACACTTGATATAATCGAGTGAACAGATGCGTGGGTTTAATAATGCTGATTCAATGAACAACTCAGCTGATATGCTAGATACGCTTATTCGTTCGTGGTACCTTGCACTTCACGAACCTACGTAAATATCAAAAGACAAAGACTGGCCTCTGACAGCTAAGATACGGTTTTTTATTAGGAAAATACTTCATATTGATATATTTTTTCACCACATCAAAATCAGCCCAAAACAGTGGAAACGGACTTTCTGATTGATTGGTGATTCGGCTAAGGCAGGCGAAAATAAATATTCTGATTATTTGTCAATCTGACCAAGACAAAGGGAAGAAAAAGATTATGAAATGTTATTGTCATCCAGTCACACAATGAATCACAAGATGAGTCATAAGATGATTACTATTTTAAGCTGATTCCTCTCAATTCCGAATTCTGTCTTTACTCCGAAGAGCGCACAGTAACTAGGACAAACCGACTGTCCAGTATACGTTGGTTTTCAATGACTCCTCAATTGATAATCATGAGGTAATTTATGCCGACAGGAATACTTATTAAGAAGTATAAATTTTTCATGGACAACTATGAATGATGGTTGCGCTAATCTGTGAATTTTCAAAAGTGAAGAAATAGACAGATTCCAAATCACTGGTAGAACATTAATGTGCAGAATAAACTATCATATTATTGAACGTGTTCATGAGTGGTATGCACTACTGAAGAGTCCCGAACTCGGATTGACGTGTGTGCTACTGGCAAGAATAGGAGTGTAATGTGACGTCTTCTGCCAACATTTTGAATAGAGGATTACCAATTGTAACAAAATACACAGAGTAGTCATACAGGATTTTTTATTATGCAATTTACATACAAATTTAGTGGTAGAATGTAGCACAACCTTATATCGTAAACATAATTCTTACAAACCATTTATGCTCTTCAGTTGTCAGAATTCTTCACGAACAAATATCAGATGAAGAGATTATTAGAAACCAGGGAGCACTAGACAGCTATTTCATCCTATTCTGGAACTGTTCAGCAGTGCACATGCTTAACCATACCAGTGATCGACTCCAGGATATTAAGGTTACGAGGCCAAACTTTTCGACCATTCAACCACTTGGGCCGGAACGCATGAGTTTTAACTTTGTCAATTTGTAATATAACACTGCCTTCATCAGTGCCTTCGACGAGCACACATTTCGTCTTGACATGGCTTCAGGACATCGATCCAGTAGCTGTCTATGAACTAGAGATTGATACTTATATTGTGAATTTTAATGGGGATTCAGATTAATTTCAATGCATTTTTTCATCAGGAACCAACATCAATTAGAGACTATTGAAAACAAGGGAGCACTTGAACGTCTGTTCCTTCCTAGTTCTGGTTTTCAATGATCTCTAACTAATGTTGTTTCGTGAAGAAATCTAACAAGTGAGATTGTGGTGAGAGCTGTCTACTAGCCAAATCGGTAGACAGTAATTTACATCAATATTTATGTTCCCAAGATTTGTCGTGAGAAAATGTGAACAAAGATTGATTCAAAACCGACCACAGCAGACTTTGCGTAGGCGGATGCAGTTAACATATAGAGGATTTGACATTCAAGAAACAGTCACAAATAGATGAAAGATTAACTTTACGTGAGAAACAACCAATCGGAAGACTGTGTTTGTTTGTTTACGTATCCATAGTAATGTACATGAAAACATATATAAATATGCGTTGATTTCCTTAATAAATGTTCTGTTGCCTGACTCTTGCCTTCTGTCGTTACAAGATTAATCCAAATCCTCACAAATCCCAAAGTCTGATTATCATTCATGTTCTACTTCCCTGTGCGTTTCTTTTTTCTTTTTTCATTTCATGCCCCCTGTACTAAATATCTATTTTCTAAATTTTTTCCTTGTCTGTAAATATCATTCGTCTTTTTTATCTCCAGGAGTTTTTCAGATAGCGTCACACTATTACTACGCAAAAATTTTCGCTAGGAGTACATTTCACTTGTACAGTTTTCTTTATGTATATTTGAGATTTCATTTTCTAACTATTCAGATGTTTAACTCATTCATTGACTTTTGTATAGAGTGTTTCAAAAAATCACAACTCTGGTAATTTCTTAGCCATTCAAGTCACTTTTATTGAAATTTTTCTTTTATTGTGCAATGTTGACTACGTGTTCTGATAATTTCATCTGTTGGCAGCTGGAATCACCTTCGTCATAATATATACAAAACTTGCATATACTGTGTTTTGTTCTTACTGTTAAACTATTGTCGCTCAGGTATGATGGCATAAGTTCTGTTACTAAGGCATACAAACATATAGAACTGTCAGTGAACTTTAGTTTGGGTACACTTATACTAATGGATTAGAATAACCTAGCAACAAGTCCAACACCATCAGTGGAGATGATTTTTAACTCCAGTTGTAAATAGTGACTGTTTTGACATTCTGCCAGATTTGATACTTGATTGTGGACCGTGCGATTTTACTATCCGTAACGTAAAGAGGAGGTTGGAACTAACTTTATCTGAAATTGGATGATTGTCTGTCACATGCTGATCATTTTTGGTATGACTACTTTTGTGATTATGTGTATGAAATTTGTCTTATAATGAATAGAGTAAAAATAGATTAGTTTCAGATGAATATTCACCTTTTATATGAGAGATATATGTAAAGAAGTGTTAGTTAGCTAATTAATATTCCATTAATTATTCATTATCACTATTATTTATTCATCATTTACAGATTTTATCTATATTGGAATCATTGGAGCAGCTGTATTAATCGTACTGGTTGTAATATCCTTGGTCTTAGGAATTGTTTTCTATCGGTGAGTAAATCATTTTGTATAACTCCATATATTTGCATTAGTCATCATTTCTGTCTTCGCAAAGCTTTCATATTAGCTTATTAGTCATGACTACTTTTTTTTCTTTTTCTCGTCTACTAATTTATGTACTCACATATTTAAAATGATGTTAAAAAGAAATATCAGCAGTAGTGTACAATCAAGAAGGATTATAAATGTGTAGTCTGATCTGTTATAAGAATAAGTATTGAATCAGTCGTGGGATTTACACACACACACCTTCTAATCAGTATAACTGAACGAACATCGATTCAGATGGTTAAATTTAACATAAGCCCTTTAATGAGAAGCCAGCAAAATAAATGGAAGATTGGAGAATACTCAGAAGGCTATTTCTGTACTACAGAGAGCATCTAAACCTTACGGAACATGAAAACTTTAATACAAATTAGGATATATCAAAACTTATACTCTCAGGTATGTTTTAAAGAGGAAAACTGAAGAAAAGGTGGGTTCTCCGGAAATGATAGATAAATAAATGGATAAAATATTAACACATATCCTAATTATACTCATTAACGTTGTAAGATATCTCAACTCTTTCAGGTTTGATGGAAATCTCGGAACAAGCAATATTGTTTCATTGTTTATTGTTAAACAGTGCTTTGGAGTAGACCACCATATCACATTTAACGCACCTAGTATCATAAGATTTTCATTTAGTGCTTTCAAGGGACTTTTTCACCGAACGGGTATTATTGTCATCATTTCAAGTGGTTAACTCATCATGAAATGCCAGCAGAGAATTTTCAATAATACTGAAATGTTTCATACATTTGGTTCCCTTGATAAATTTCGATAGAGAAAGGAAGACCAGATTTGCAGTATAAAATGATATCATTCTATTTCACAGGTTCTCATCAGCTGCAAACTACCTGAAATTACAATGGTTATAATTAATAACATTTCATACTTCATTGTTTGAAAGGTAATACAGAAAGCATTATAAGATAAACGCATCCGGAATATAAGGATTAAAATTTTTGTAGCTTAAGTTACCATCAATTTATATACTATCAATCTATGGCAAAAAGAAAGAAAAAGGGGGGGTGAGAGAAGACAGAAAACATAAAAATCTAATAAACAGTGTCAACATGGCAACTCAACAAGGTCAAAGTTCATCAATTTGAAAACTTGCTTAGTGAGTTGAACTCACTAGTGTCTATGAGTAATCACTGTAATCAAAGTGATATGGTTACCAAGGGAGTGAGAGATTGACTACACTCTCTTACTGTGTGCATAAGTTTGGTCTGAAGCGTTTGATTGCAATTGCTTCAGCAAATCGTAGTAGATTCGCTGTCCTTTGTATGTTTGATATTTTGAAGGATTTGGAAATCTCAACAAAATGGCCTGTATCCACAAGGTGTCTGGTAATTGCACTTTGTAAATATTTGCTTCCTTTTAAGCATAAGTTTCTCGGAATATGCTCTGAAAACCGGATAGAAGCCCTTCTTTCTGTCCTTCCGATGTACTTGCTGCCGCAGGTGCACGTGAATTTATAAATGCAGTTGGAGGTAACATCAGCAGGGTATTTATCCAGTTTCGATTGGCTTATAGAGCATGTAGTACTGTATAGTGTCACTAGATTGGCTGCAGGGAAGCATCTCTTGATTGCTCCTTTCATCCTTTTTTCAATCTTTCGCGATACTGTTTCTCCTTTGTATGGGAGGCAAATGAATACTTTCTTCTTTTCAACTGTTGGATGCTTCTCTTTCTCATCTCTTTCTTTGCTGTACTCTAGGATTAATCCTTTTGGATACCCGTTCTCCTTAAGGCATTTTTCAACGAAGCTTAATTCTTCTTCTATCTTGTTGGGGGAACATAACCTCCTAGCCCTGTCGTACAGTGTCCTTACTAATCCTCGCTTATAGCTCATAGGGCAGAAGCTGTTGTAGTGAAGGTATTGTCCGGTCCAAGTTTCTTTTCTGTAGATGGACTTTTCGACCGTTCTATCGTCTCTTCTTTTTACATTTAGATCTAAGAAATTGAACTCATCGTTGTGTTCGTATTCCATGGTGAATTTAATGTTTGGGTGGACCTCATTTAGGCGGTCAAATAATACGGATGCCTGACTCATGTCGTTACAAACAACAAAAGTATCATCAACGTATCGACGGTAGTATGTTGTTTCATTGATAGCGTCACTCAGTCGCGTCTGTTCCAGATAGCCCATGAAGATATCTGCTAGAATGGGTCCTAGAGGTGAACCCATGGCGACCCCATCGATTTGTCGGTAGAATTGGTTATTGAATCTAAATTGAATGTCTTTTGTGCAAAGAATTAGTAGTCGTCTCATCTCTGACTCCGGTAATGGCAATAGATCCGTTTGTTTACAAATGATATCTATTGTTTCCATCACTGGTACATTTGTAAATAAGGCAGTCACGTCGTATGATATCATTAGTTTATTGGATATGTCAACGTGATCGACTTCTTTAGAAAATTGGAAGGTGTCATCCAAGCTATGATTTGAAAATTTTTGTCGAATTGGCTTCAATGAATCAGCTAGCCATCGAGCTAGTTTGTGGCACGGTGAGTTTATCATTGATAGTATTGGTCTTAAGGGCACATTGGCCTTATGGATTTTTGGTAGACCGTACATAAATGGGAGTCGTCCACCCTTTGACTTGAGTTCATTGTAAGTTTTGTTGTCAATCAGTTTCTTGATGAGTAGTTCTCTGAGGCATTTATTCACTTTATTTTCGAATGACGTTGTTGCATCCTTCTTAGTTTTGTCCACCTGAAATTTTTCGGAGTCGTTAAGAATTGTCAACATTTTATGTACATAATCAGTTTTATTCATTATAACAACTCCAGAGCCTTTGTCGGGTCTAAACATGACGATATCATCATTTTCACATAGTCTCCTTAGTGCCGCTCTATGCTCCTCAGTAAGCATATTTTGTTTTTCGGATGGTGATGTGTGGTATTGGTTTGCTATATCAACCAGTTTGGACTTTAGCCATCCTCGTTTGTCTTCGTCCACAGGTTGCAGGTCGGCAAGTTGCAATATAAAATAGTTATAATACCATTGATGGAGGAAGAAAAATTTGATTACTGTTCATGTGAATGTGATCCCATAACAAATATGTTTACTTCATATATATATATATATATATATATATATATATATATATGTATATATATATGTATGCACTTATTGCATTCGAAGACTAAATCTATATTTTCTTAACTAACAAATACACTGTTTATTAAATAAAGCTGAATAAGTTCATGAAATATGTTGGTGTATTTGGATTACTCTCATATCTTTCTCCGTCTTTTTCTCTTTACCTAGACGAGCTAAATTTCAAGCAGAGCTACGTGCTATGAATTGGATTATCCCGTGGGATGCATTACAAGTAACAGAAAAACATTTAAGACGTTATCGTCGTGAAAGTGATATTCGTTCACCAAATCAATCATCTGATCCACTGAGAAAGATATCGTTTGACACAGGCCCTACTGCCAGTAAACCTTTACTTGCAGGTGATGTATTAGTGAATGAAACTTTAGATCAAGATCCAACCGTAGAATTTTGTACAACAATTGATGAAGTCTCTCCAGAGAAACCACATCGTAAAATTTCATTTAGTAATCTTATACTGTCTGCTATTAATTCTACATCCAACAGTGGAGGTAATACAAATGTACCAGGTGAAAAAAGACGAAGGAAAACATCAACTACTGGACGATTTTTAGCTCGTTTCGCTCCAGATCCAATAACTTTACCACCAACAGTATTTGAAGAGTCCAGTTCACATGCTGGTACATCACCACATCCTACAGGATATTCACAACCACAAATTAATGTTAGTAAACGTCAACATCGTTTATCTAGACGTAGTAGAACAAATGAAGAGGGTCAAACAACAGATGTTAATAGTCCAACTAACGGGCAAAATAAAGGTATGCCAGAATGGACATATTTTAAGCATCCATCTTTTGATTATTCCTTTACCACTAAGCAAAATCGACATCGAAAGAAACATGATAGTGTTGGAATGGAAGTAAGCTATTGTTTCCTGCTTTTATTATTATTATTTTATTTAATATCTTTAAAGACTTCAAATTAATAAGTTATATTAGTAAATAAGGCAAATTTATCAAGTTGTACGTGTGTAGAACTAGTATTAGTTGGTGATATGGATCATTAGTGGATTACAATAGTGTATCATCATAGGAGAATGAGTTCTGACATTAATAACAGTTTGGATCACAACACACTGAATAGCCTATTTTTTTCTCAAAATTCCTGGTAGTTAAATGCATCTTACATTGTGAAAATTATATGGTGTGATGGGGAACACACTAGGACAATATGTTACAATCTATTCTTCAAACTATTGTAAAACACATTGGAGATGGAATGAAACTGGACTTTATGGAAAAGCAAAGATACCACAGATTGTTTTGCGATCTTGTCACATGGTATGACACAACAGAAGTCTTATCCTTATAAGTTATCTTATTGAGTTCTTTTACAAGTTAGAAATTAGCAATGTTTTCCATTCTTCTCCTTCTTCATAAGGTTAGTATTTGTTTGTTCTGCGAAAACTAATCGTTGGCACTAAGTTTTACTTAAGACAGTGTTTCGGCTGAATAATTTTCCAAACTTTTCATCATATATTTAAACCTGACTGATGAAACGTGGTGTGTGGTTAGGAATTTACAATTCATTTCTCGCAATACCCAATCGTACACTCACCACATTTCATTACATTCTTGAAGACAAATATAACGTTTTAAAACATACTACTAATAAATAATGTGAGTAGCTGGAAACCGACCGTTTTGAACAAAATAAGAAGGAAGAACTCTACAAGATAGAAAGAACTCCATTTTTATTTCAAGAATGTTTTCTCCACTGGCAATCTAGAATTACGAATATTATTAATTAATAATATGCAGGTAAACGGTTTGCTTTAGTTTTTTGAAGTAAGAGGGAAGATTATTATTCACAGGCCAATAATAAGTCACGAAAAATGAAGGGGAAAATACAATGATCAGAAATTAGAGTTTGTTTACACGTGATATAATGACCATGAATAAATGAATACTTGCATATCTCAATAGTCCAGAAGACTGCATTGTCTAGAACGACTACTGTTTAAGTGATTTACACTACTTTTGGAGGGGCTGAATTCGTAGTTCTGGCGAGTGGAAATATAACAGCTGCAAGCTGTTTCTTTCAAGCGACCAGAAAGCCAACAATATTGCTTCTCGTTCTGAAGAAGAGGTTAGAAAATTGTACATCCCCACTTATTCCATAGCCCTCTATATCTGGCGGCAAGGTCATCGTACGGACACATCTGCAAAAATCACCCTAAACAGACCGTGTGTTATAGGCCTCGAATAGCTATCCCTCAAGCTCTGTGGCCACACAACACTAGTGTTCTTTCTCTTCCGGGTGCTTTGAGAAGTGGTCGATCCAGTTCAGTGTAACTTCTGTAGTAAAGATAATTGAATTACGTCATTTATTTGCATATTATTTATAATAACTTGCATAATTTATGGCTATTAGAGGGATAAAGAATGCCTTAAAACAAAGAGGGTTCATTTTCTCCTGCATTTGTTTTCATCCTTGTATTATATATATATATATATATATATGTATCGATTGAAAGAGATGCATTAACAGTACCATTTTCTTTAGTAATCATATATTTTGTTAGTCTGTGACCGATAGAATTGGAAATAGCAATTAATGGTCTTCATTAAGTGAATCCTAATGAGAGGATCTTGTTAGTAATAACACAGTAGATATTGTTTGATAGGTAAGGGCTAGCAGTGGGATCTAGGATTCGCATTTTGTCTTATTTTGCTCCTAGCGTACATGCCAATAGAGACAGAGAATTTCGGTTCGATAAAAACCAGTCGAGAGGAGATTCAAAAGTAGTAATTTCAACAAATAACAACTGATACCTTATGCCCAAGAGTATAATGCTTTGGCATTTGCGTTCATATTTTAGTGAGAACACCTTCATTTACTGTGATGCATGTACATTCAGTATCACAAATATGAGGAAATATGTTCTGGTTTCTGCTGCTTGCCACTATTAAACCTAATAGCATCATGTTAACCTAAAGGAGTCATTGAAAAGTCCGTAATAGGAGCCAATGTATCAACGGGGATCGAGCATTTTGATCTGGTAAAATCTATCAACGAAAAATTTAGAAATAATTATTTCAGTAAATAATTCAACAGATAATTTGCTAACTGACAGACGACAACTGAATCACTTTTGAATCATTATATTATTATTATTATTATAACTATTTCTGATATTTTGTTTTCTAATTTTAATGCATGATATTTAGAACGATTTTCCACCATTGTTTATTATTATCCTTTTACTAATTACAATATAAGTAGATGCATTTTTTCTCTGCATCCTTCTTGCTCATTTAATTGTGTTTTTTTTTATCCTGATAGTCTGACTATAATCCCTTAATGGAATTCGACTTTTTCAAGAAAAAGAAGGTAATGTTTCCGTTTACTGTCTTTACTTTAATTATTAATTTAAATGCTTTATAAATATCAATATTATCCTTATTACTATTACTAGTATTCGTCCTTTGCGTTTACAGTGGAACATGAAGCTTTAACAGCAGATCTCCACTTGAATATGTTCTCTGTCTCACTAATAGTTGACTCCAGAAATGTCCGCAAGTTTAAATTGCCTCTTCACTTGATCTTCTCCGTGTCATCCTGGAACTGTTGCCAAACTTGTCAATTTTCATTCAAGTTTTACTCAGTGGCCTGGAATATAAAGCCACTTAAGGGTTTCTTCATTTTGTATGCTAATCTGCTTCCATTTCCCTCCACATAATTTCGGGATAGTAAGTTCTTGGCTTGTTTGTAACCTGTTAGATTTCCTTTTCGCTTATCGTTTCTGGACATCTATTCGATATGAGCGAAGAAAGCTGTTGACGAAATTCTCCAGCCTGCTGGAAATGCTGTCACTGACGGGTGTTAAGTCTCTGAGCTATATAGAACCACTGACTGACCTAATATTAGTGTTGAAAATTGTATGTTGCTCCTCGTGTTGAGTGCTATTAATCTCCACACTAACCGCAAAGTATTGAGCACTTTTCCAATCATTGCTGGTTTCGACATCTTCATGTGTGCCGCCCGTAGTTGTAGCGATCCTGCCCAGGTGGTAAGTAAAAGAGACTACTTTCTTTAGATTTCTGCTGTTGATGCTGATTGGTGTTTTTGGTTGTTAACCAAGTATCTTCATAATCTCTATCTTCTTTGTGTTTACATGAAGTCTAATCCTGTCTGCCTCCTCTGTCAACTTGCTGGTTTCTGCTTGTATATTTTCGAGTTTATTAGACATTAGACAGAAGTCACCCACAAAATCCAGATGTTTTACGGTCATTTTGTCGGTCCAGTGTATACCAGTGTTCTCATTCGCCTCCACAAACGGAAAAGTTATGTCTGATAAAAAGGAAGCCTTGTTTTACTCGTGTCTTCACTTTAAACACTTCGGTAAGCTTTCAGGTATGTTACTTATCATTATTCAAACTGTTGATTCAGTGAAATGAATGGAGGAACTATATATCTTGTATGGTTTTGCAATGACATGAATACATACATGCGTAAAACGTGAACATATTCGTCTCAAGGAGTTCATGCATATTTCATTAAAATGAAGAGATTATCTTAAGAGTGAAGTCTATCACGAAGAAATCTGTTAAGATTATACATAATTATATTTTATACGACTATTTTTCCATTTTAAAAATATGTTAAAATTTATTAGCTATCTTTCTGGTTATTTGTTTATTTCATTTAGTGTAACGATAGTCATTGAATGGCTTAGTTGGATCACTTTGTTTTGTAATTTTTTTCTAATTGTTCTATGACATTGTAACATAACTCCTATCAATGGGTATAAACACTGGACAACTAGCTACCGAGGCTACCCTGATAAAAACAACAATAGAAACCACAACCACATGTCTAGTAACACTTGGATTCATTTGTCATATTTGCTTACATTAATTTAACTAATGTATAAACATTTATCCAAACTAATAATAATGATACCTGTTGTATGACATCATTTATATTTCACTATTGACAACAATGAATTCCATTACACCTATGATAAATGTAATTGATTATATTCATTTACTTTTTTCCTGTGGAGTAAATAATTCCTGAAATTTGGAATACATTTAAGCATAAAGAGTAAACTAGTGATTGAGATGTGTGTTGTTGTTCAGTGCGTATAAGATAAATCAATAAATTAATTCTAGGGATAATATATTCTAAGTCGAATCACACACGACAGTCGAAAAGCGACCTGTCATAAATGAATGTATACATATGTGTCTATTCCTATATCGCTGTTTTTCTTCCTGTGAGAAAGTGTAATCCTCAGAAAGAAGATGCAAGGTTTTTTCACGGTTCAATATACTTTATGAATTTACAGTGTCGATTAACAATGCAACAATACTGGAGGAATCAGATAGGGAGTAAAGTGATTGATTGTGTTAACCACTTCACTTATTTGGGAATTTGCTTCATAACTAATTGTCTGATTGTTGATGCAATCTCAGCACGGATACAAAATGGCTCATGTGGCATTTCCCAACTTTACCTCTGGCGTAGTCGTGTGTACTGTGCAACAGCCCTCTGTTTTCCTCTATACGGCTATGAGACATGGCCACTGAAAGTAGAAGATATGAAAAGGCTGCCTCTGACCGTAGATATTTACGTTCTATCTTCAGTGTTAAGTGGTATAATTTGATGGGTAATACTGAGGTTAGGCCTGGAGTATTAGGTACGAAGGTAAGCCAGTTGATGAGGTTGTGAAGCTGAGTTGATTTAAATGACCAGGACATGTGTTACACATGTCAAGTCATCGCCTGCCTCGTCGAGAAATGTTAACTGAAATAGGATTAGGTTAGAGAAGAGTTAGGGATGGCCAAAACAATCATGGTATAAATCCATGAAGTCTTTGCCTGTTGGTTTGAGTGAGCCACGTAGGGAGGTGTAGACTATCTACCTGAGTTCCTCTAGCCGCTAAGAACCAATGTCTGAAAGCGGTCTGTGGTATAACTCAAACTTGGTTTCAGTGATGCATGTACATTCATTCATTATAATCTCAATTCAATTAAGTCCTTGTGTTTCTCCGTGTAATTATTCTATCTTCTGTACATTTATGCTCATTATAGTTATTTTGAATTTTTCTTCTCCACCTTTGTGCTCTATATGAAGTGTAGCAATTTGAACTGTTTCACTTTTATGCATATTTCTAAGTTAAAACCCAGTCATTCAAGGAATGAACAATCATAATATCAGATAGTTATCTTCTGGTATTGTTCTTTTTTAAGCTTCATTAGCATTATATCTTAACAATCTAATATCTGTATCATTTACACTTTTTTAGTATTTGAATGTAGTTTTGTTTAATTATCATGCATACAGTATGTGTACGTACATATTTCTTTTGCATAGAAGTGTATGCGTTCAACTGATTTATAAAGTGATATTCAAAATTTTTATTTCAACATCTCTGATATATGTATATATATCAACACTTGTGGTTGCTTAGATTGTTCACTGTCCAGTTCATACATAAAGTAACTCCATTCTATTCATATTATATTGTATAATTGGTAGTTGTTTTATATATTTCCATCAAAAGTATTTCTAACAATTAAATGTGTTCCCATTTCTACCATTAATTCTTTTGAAAGCAGATTAAGTTTTACATTATTATTGGAAATTCTTCAGTGACCGTTATTTGGTTATTCCACTCTAATAATTTAGTAAATACATTTAGCACTGAACACTCTTTTTGGGCTGTAATAAATGGGATATAGCGAATACATTCAGGGTTCTATCTTATTAATAATCCACTTTAAATTCATCTAAAGAATTCTAAATACACTTGAGTTCTGTTCGTTTTCAGATGACTTCAGTGTGAACAGAGATTCAACTTCTTATTAATTGGTGTAACAGGTGATGACTAAATGTATAATAAAGATATAGTGCAGAGATCTAGAAATTAAACTAAGAGATCTAACTGGGAACTGCTCATTTTACCAAAATCAACATGGATAATGAATGCCTAACTGTCATGTGAATAAATGGCACGTTATTGCCTGTTTATCACCACACTATAACTGCAAATCTACGTCTCCATTTGTCAACTGAATTAGTAGGATAGGGATAATTGGTGAACTGACAGTAAACCTATCTGAGATAGACTTAATTTTGCAAACTGTTAGTGATGATTGAAGGTGTGTTGAATCCTGCTGCTACGAAGGTTTTTGATGCAAGACTATCTCACCATCAGTTTATCATAATTTATTTCGGCAAAATTAGCTATTTAGGCATTTTGTTATTTCAACTTTGATCACAAGCTGACATCAGTTAGAAAACTATTGGAAAATCATATCCTAGTTTGGAACTCTTCGGCAAGCGACTATTTGTCCGATTCATTAACTAGTACATGAGCCATTGGATTGGATCCCGCTAGTTTAGTGGTTTACGAGCTTGCCTTGTAACCAGATTGTAAATGTGTACCGCTGAACAAAAAGCTGTCCAATACTCCCTAGTTTCCCATTAGTCCTCTAATTGATGTCAGCTCGCGTTGAAATTTGAAACAAATTAAATACCTACGAACTAACTTTTGAAAATTTTGTTATTTGTTTATTTGTTTGTTTTTTCCGGATTTTAAACTTTTATGTGAGATTTGAATTTAAGGCATTAAGAAGACAAATTTCGCGAGATGATATCATTTCGTAGTTTCTTTACAACCGCTTTACAACTAACATGGTTAACAATAACAAAATAAAGTTCATGACAATTACTCAGTTAAATAAAAACAAAAAGTACATACCAATGACTAATCATATTTAGATAGGTCAAGTAGTCCAGGGTAGGCGAAGATTGAAGTCTATTGATTTTTGTACACACAGTTTAGGCTGTATGTGATTAATCCAAAGTGCTTCCATCACCTTCAATAACCTTGAATTAGAGTTGTGTGAAATAATTGTAAAACAGTCATTAATATTGATTTTGTGACCTGACATTAATAAGTGTTTTGCAATGGATGACGCTGGATTTCTATTCAGATTACTGGCATTGGGATTTTCAATATGATTTAATAGCCATTTTGGAACATGTTCTTTCCGACGACATTGGAACATTCTGTTGGTTCTACCTATATAGGTGTCACCGCAGCTGCAGGTGAACTTGTAGATGCAGTTTGAAGTAGAGTCCACAGAATGATATCATCTCGCGAAATTTGTCTTCTTAATGCCTTATTCAAATTTATCAAAGGGACTAATTGTTTTAATTTTATGTGAGAGTTTAGTGTTACCTTAAACATCACCTAATTTTAAAAGACATTTAAAAGACTTATAAAACTAATGCGAAATGTTAAATATTACTTAAGAAGTATGCAGACAAAAATAACTTTACCTTTGTCTTAAACATTAGTATAGTATTGAAATTTGTTG